CTGTTCCCTGGCCTGGCAGTTAAATCAAGCATTTTAGTAAGTGACTCTGGGAAGAAAAATGGACTTGAATCAAGAAAAAGAAAAAGAAAAAGAAAAAGAAAAAGAAAAAGAAAAAGAAAAAGAAAAAGAAAAAGAAAAAGAAAAAGAAAAAAAGAAGAAAACCATAGAATCTGACCTTTAGGTCAACCAGTGACTTGACAAAAAAGAGCAATGGGAAAAACTGGCACCAACTTACTAGAAAGAGGATTTATGGTTGGATTAAAAAATTTAAAAAATGGCCTGGTTGGTGTGGTTCAGTGGATTGAGTGCCATCCTGCAAAGCAAAGGGTTTCTGGTTCAATTCCCAATCAGGGCACATGCCTGGGTTGTGGGCCAGGTCCCTAGTAGGGGACATGTGAGAGGCAACCACACACTGATGTTTCTTTCCCCTTCTATCTCCTTTCTTTCCCCTCTCTCTAAAAATAAATAAATGAAATCTTTTAAAAATTAAAAAATGACATTTTCCATCAACTTCAAAAACAAAGAGCTGCCATCATCAAGACTAAAAATCATGTTCTGGAAAGTACTTCTTAGGTCAGTGGCATGCACAAGAGATATATTCATTTTATTTTATATAAAAGAGCCTGGCAACTGAATAATCTTATCAACCCTCTCATGTGTTGGATTTTTAAATGTATGTTTATAACAGTTTTAGATTTCCATAATATGCAAAGTTAGTACAAAGGTTTCTCATACACCTCACACTCAATTTATTCTATTATTACAATTTTGTACTAGTATGTTACATTTTCAAAATTAATGAACCAATATTAATCTTATCCTTAACTACTAAGTACATCCTTTATTTAGATTTCCTTTGTTTGTACCTAATGTTTTTCTCTGCTCCAGGATCCCACCGGGAAATGGCATTACACTTAGTAGTTATGTCTCCTTGAGCATTTCTTTATTTTTTTAATATATTTTATTGATTATGCCATTACAGTTGTCCTATTCCCCCCTTCATTCCCCTCTACCCTGAACACCCCTCCCCCACCATTCCCTCCTTTTGTTTATGTCCATGTGTCACAAGTTCTTTAGATTCTATATTTCCCATATTATTCTTGCCCTCCCCTGTCTATTTTCTACCTACCATCTATGCTACTTATTTTCTGTAACTCCTCCCCCCTTCTCCTTCTCCAACTCCCCTGTTGCTAACCCTCCATGTGATTTCCATTTCTATGGTTCTGCTCCTGATCTAGCTGTCCTCTTAGTTTGCTTTTGTTTTAGGTGTGGTTGTTAATAACTGTGAGTTTGCTGTCCTTTCACTGTTCATCTTTTTTATCTTCTTTTTCTTAGGTAAGTCCCTTTAACATTTCATATAATAAGGGCTTGGTGATGATGTACTCCTTGAATTTGATCTGAGAAGCACTTTATCTGTCCTTCCATTCTAAATGAAAGCTTTGCTGGATAGATCAGTCTTGGATGTAGGTCTTTGGATTTCATGACTTGGAATACTTCTTTCCAGCCCCTTCTTGCCTGTAAGGTCTCTTTTGAGAAATCTGCTGACAGTCTGATGGGAACTCCTTTGTAGGTGACTGTCCCCTTATCTCTTGCTGCTTCTAGGATTCTCTCCTTCATTTTAATCTTGGCTAATGTAATTATGATGTGCCTTGGTGTGTTCCTCCTTGGGTCCAACTTCTTTGGGACTCTCTGAGCTTCCTGGATTTCCTGGGAGTCTATTTCCTTTGCCAGATTGGAAAGTTCTCTTTTATTATTTGTTCAGGTAAGTTTTCCACTTGTGGCTGTTCCTCTTCCCCTTCTGGTACCCCTATAATTTGGATGTTGGAACGTTTAAAGATGTCCTGGAGATTCCCAAGCCTCTCCTCATTTTTTTGAATTCTTGTTTCTTTATTCTTTTCTGTTTGGTCATTTTTTTTTTCCTTCTGGTTCACTCCCTTGATTTGAGTTCCAGTTTCCTTTCCATCCCTATTGGTTTCCTGTGCATTTCCTTTCATTTAAGTTAGTTTAGCCTTCATATGTTCCTCTAATTTGTGACTGAACTCAACCAGTTCTGTGAGCATCCTGATCACCAGTGTTTTGAAGTACGCATCTGATAGTTTGGCTATCTCTTGGTTGCTTAGAATTATTGGTTCTGGGGCTCTGAGCTGTTCTTGAGCCATAATGTTTTGGTATGTTTGTACCCTTTACATATGAAGGGCGGAGCCGTAGGTGTTCACTAGGGCATGGCCACCCAGGTCACTGGTTTGTGATGCTCTATGTGGGGGCGGGGTCAGAGAGGGGCAATGGCATTTGTTCTGCACCCTCTCTCTCAGATTTTGGCCCCCTCTGCTGCTTCCCACAAGCAAACTGACCCCCGTGGTACTGGCTCCTCGGTGTGTGGGCCTGTGCACCCTCCAGGACCCTGTGGGTCTCTCCAACGAACTCTCCTGGCACCTCAACCCCAAAAGTCTTTCCAATTGGTACTTTCGGGTTCTAATTCCCATAGCTGGGGCCCTAGCCTGAGCGGTCTGTCTCACTGTTCATTACTTTGCTTGGTTTATCTGCTCTGGAATGCGTGACTGTGGTCAGCCAGCCACCCTCCGCACTCAGTAGGTCCTCCCATTGCCACTGGAGCTGGGTATCCACCCACCGCCGCTAAGGCTCCTGGGTTGGCAGCCACCTTTTCCAGCATGACCCCACTCCACCGCTGACTTCGCCCCTCTTACCAGTCTGGCTGAATGATTCGTCGTTGTTGGACTTCTGTACAGTTCAATTTTCTGTGTTTTGGCTGCATTTTTGTTACTAAACTTTGTTGCCTTTAAACTTGGTTGTGGGAGGAGCCACAGTGTTCCCACCTACACCTCCATCTTGGCCAGAAGTCTCTGAGCATTTCTTTATTATGACAATTTCTCAGACTTCCCTTGTTTTCCTATGACACTGACAGTTTTGAGGCGTACTGATCAGGTATTTTGCAGAATGTTCCTTAATTGGGCTTTGTCTGATGTTTTTCTCATGATTAAGATTGAGATTGAACTTGTAAAATTTCAATCCTTTATTGTTATATTATTTCATCTTTTCCTTTATTCTTGTCTTAAAATCACTATAACATCACATTGTAATAATTTGGATTATTACTCAGATAATAATTTCAATCTAGTTACAAAAAATGTCCGAAAGTGTTTCTGCTACAGTATGTTTAAGTGAATGCTTGAAAGTGTATTATCAATCACACTAAAGCTCTAAAATTCGGCTATTTTAAATACTGTATTACACAAAAACAAATTAATAATTAACATTAATTAATTGAGCTTCAAAAAAGATACAGTAGTGAATCCACAGCCAGGCAACCATAATTTCAAGACTTGCAAAAAGTTATTCTTGATTAGATTAACTTTATGCATTTTAAGAAACAAATATATATTTTGATGTATCTCTTTCAAATCACATGTGGACTTCTAAAAAGCTATTTTCCAAGTGGCTTTAAGAAATAAAAATACCTTTGAAATATCAGAAAAAAACATGATCCCTTTACTATTACTGCCTTGATATTATAATGTTTTAACTATTACTATTTCTCTAACTCTTCAAATTTAACAATGAATTGTGAAAGTAATCACTTTGGCACATGAAGGGGATAAAATAAAATCCACTAGTAAGGCCACTGACTCAGTGATAGGTCATTATTCTCATTACACAGCTCACTTTCTTTATAATGGAATAAATTCACAAGAATTTTTGTGTCAGTCAAACTGGATTTCTGTCCACACCTTTGTAAAATTTTTAATTAAGTATGTCCCAGGTATTATTTGGCTTTTATCCTAAAGACAAAGTCAACAGAATTTACATGTGTTCCTCACACAAAGGGAAATATTCCCTCACATTCTCTTGGTAAAAATCAACTAGCTCTAGTCTTTGGGGGAAAAATAGACAGGTAGGCGGGTGGGCCAGCCCCAAACAGAAAGGCTTTATTAGCTGCAAAAATTACTATACTGTGTTCTTGCTAAGGTTTTGCACATGTAATTCAAAAAGGAAAAAAAATAAAACCTACTAAGCACAGCATCCCAGTGTACCTACCTGTCTACTACCTGTCAAGTGGGTCAGTCACAGGGTTCCTAGCCCCTGAGCAGAGCCTTTGGGCAATGGCACCCTGAGCCTGCAGACTTATCAGAAAAGTGAGTGGGGAAGTGTTTTCACAAGAAAAGCACAAGGGGCCACCCATAACCTATTAGTAAATGCTTAATGCTCCTAAGGCAGCCCCACAAAAGCTATGTCAACAAAAGGCAAAAAATCACATAGATTTCTTCTTACACTCAGTGGGCACCCACATCTGTGGCTGCTCTCACTGTCTGTTCTGAATGTGAACCCTGTAGGAGGGGCAGGTCTAGGGACTGAGGTCAAAAAGAGAATGCCACCTTTTAAGAGCAGCATCTCTCCTGATTTTTCTTTTATATCAGCTCATTTATTTCCTAGGCCAAACAAAAGGAAGCAGAAGCAAACAATGATGCCTTCAGCAAGGCACCTCACATCCACCAGTGTGCCCATGGACATGGCATCTCTGAGAGGTGGGAAAGAAATCACCAAATCTCAGAAGGTCAAAAAAGAATGGGACATAAATCTCATCTGGTGCAACCACCAGTTAATTAATGAGGGGAAAGCACAGGCTTCATTTTGTAGCAGAAATTAGAGCAGGATTTTTTAAAAAATCAGCCCAGTTTCCTCTAGGGCAGCGATTTTCAACTGGTGTGCCACAAGAATCTTTAAAACATGCAATACCTGACAACTTAGTCAGGGGCACTGACCTCTTTTCTTGTAGATTGTCAAATAATAAAATGACAGCATCCAATACAACAATAGCCATCCAGTGGGAATAAATAAAAATTACACCTATTTTTGTCAGATTGGCAAAAAATATATTTTTGGTGTATCACAGAACTTTAGTAATTAGTTTATGTGTGTCATGAGATGAGAAGGTTGAAAATCGCTCCTCTAGGGGATCAGATGATCCTGGAGAAGTGATGTACCTGTTGAGAGCTGATACTTATAGGTTGTTTTAAAACAATCCATGTGACACTCTCAAGAAGAGGTGGGACCGTAAGAGACCCAGGGTAAGTCCAGTAATCCCAGGATGGCGGAAACAGGCATAATGGGTCAAAATTCGTGAATCGAGTTTGTTTACCCTGGGGCAGAAAAGAGAATGCCACAGATTACATTAGGAAAACTTTCCAGAGACCTCAAAAACATACTTCCAATGAAATATTAACTTCACTGGAATTTATTAATTCATAGAATTACTCAGTGCTGTCTTTTATATTTTAAAAAGAGAATCTGCCTTAATCTAAAACATTTAGAGGAAGTCAGGCATTGCTTAGATTTATTTGAGAAGGACAAGATTTGTTTTCACATAAGTGGTTTTAAAATGTGTTTCAGCTAAAGGCTTATTTTGGAAAACTCCAATAACAGAAAATAATTATGCATAAATCAATTTCAGGAGGTAAATGGTGACAGATTATTTCTGCTCTATTGGTCAAGGTTGCTCCAATCTGCTTCAAAGAAGGCAGCATATATGCTATCTCAGGCCTACATTTTTAAAAAGAGGTAAGAGAATTCAGCTGAAAACAGTGAATATATTAGTCATTAGCCAACAGGAATTAATTTTACCTTTTCTTTAATGGAATCCAAAAGGTCAATAATCTTTTGCAGTTGGGGATTAAATTCACCAATCTGAAAACATGAAATTTTATAACAAGTGGTTACTGTCTCAGATCAGGTCTGAATTATTCTATTTCAGCCACTATTTTAAAATTCCTTAAAAAACAGAACAAAATAAAACAAAATGAAACTAAACTAAAGCAGCCCAGAACAGTGGTTATTTTATAATGAAACTCTCTTTTTACCTTTGGCCTTATTCTGCTTAAAGAATCTAAACCAGATAATATTACAAGGGCTTCTTGGCCAAACTATAAGTTTCACTCCCAAACTGGTAGTAACAGCTTCCTATTTCTTCAGCTGTATGAATGTTTCAGATGCAGTTGACCTTGAGAGAAATCTGGCTTAGGAAACTCCCATCATATCTGGACTATGAAACCAGGTGTGACTTTCAGACCCTCAACCCAAATGGACTATTGTGACATCAAAACATTAGAGAAAAAAACATCTCCCACATTCATCCTGAAATGACTGGAGGTCCTGAATCAAGGCTGTGTCATCCTGAGCAGAATTCATCAGAAAAATATACGTACTTCTTTCCTATTAGAGTGGGTGTTGGAACAAAAAGGAACACCCTACAAGAATGCGGTCCCAGTAGGAGTAGAGCTGCCACACCCAACCACAGATGTGACCACAGCAATACCTGTCTGACTACATGTAAATAAGACACAAAAATACAACAAAAAAATGGTCATTGCATTTGGGACAACAAGCCACTGTGGTCAAACCAGTGCTTCAAGAATCAGGTAGTTAAGCTCCACTCTCCCCTGTGTCCCTAAATGCTATGCAATCAGAAGAACCTAGAATAAAAATTTCTGCTTAGTTGTTCCTTTGGGCACTACTATTGTTGCTGCTAGTCAATAAAAATGATCAGTGGACAACAGGAGGGATCATAAGACAAAGCTCCCAGGGTAGTTCTGGGCCCTGAGATAAACCATAAACATATAGAATTTTAATATCCATTTCACAAGGAAAACATCAAACCTAGAAATAGTTTGCTATTAAAAAATGGTAGAATGTCTGCTCCATGACTGTAACTCTACCCAACACAACTGATTAATTATTTCAAGTGAAACCAGTGAGTTCTCACCTGTAAAAATACTCCCAAGACAGCTAGTCCATCAGGCTCATGAGCTGCCTCCACGAAGCTGGGGTATTTGTCAGAATTCCAGTGAACAACATGGAGCTGGGAAGGAAGAACACAGCTTCACTCCAACATTATTTTTTAAAACATTTTAAAAAACATAAATGTAAATGAAGCATATATACAGATGTTCTGGGGCTGTGCATTTATATGTATAATGTATTATACACATTCATGTCTACATTGCTGTTTAGAAGGGCTCCAAAGCTTCCTGACACACCCCTGGAGCCCAGTCTTCAGCCACTGCTCTGAAGTAACTTAGGGCTCCCACATGTCCTGCACCCAAGACTGCAATTGGGCAGTCTGAGATCAGACCCCAGCTGGTGGCAGAGTCAAGACCGAGAGGCAGGTGGGGAAGTCAGTGGGCACCCAGGGACAATGCTGCAATGAAGATGGTGCCAGTGGTTCTTGGGACTCCCCAGTCACATGCTCATCACTGTAGCTGAAGACTTTTTATGGCTTGAAAATGTGAATTCCTCATAAGAGTACACACTTACTACCTCTTTGGATTATGTTCAGATTCTTTACTAAGGTCACATTTTAATAGGGATTAAGAGGCTTTGGGCCCTGGAAACAGAAGTGTCAGAGGAAGAAAAGGAGAGGCAGCTGGTCCTACTGAGGATGGGGGAGAAAGATGGGGAGGGGGGTAGTAGAGAACCCGGAACTCCAAAAAAGTGGCTTCACCAACTTCCAAACTCATCCCCAGTGCATCTGGCCTTCTGCCAAACTCAAAGTCGTCCCACATGTCCTCTCACCGTATGCAACACAGTATCCCAAAGATATGGACAAGTGAACAGGCTGCAGAATAACATACAGTAAGGCAGATAGCCACTCCTGGAAAGTCTGCATTCCTGGTTAAAAGAAGCACAAACTGAAATGGAAGCCACAAGACAATGTGACACACCCTGATGATGTGGCCAAGGTCATGACCAGGTCATGTTGTCCAAGGACCTGTGAGAAGGACCAGTTTAGATGAGACATCCTTCAAGTGACTTCTCTGACCCTTCAGGGAGGAAACATGAAGGGCTTCAGGCACAAATCACCTTTCTAGCTAACTGTTAGAGAATTTAGCATACTCAGACATGTTTTTATCTCACTCTTTAAATGTAACTTACATCTTATGGGCAACTAATATGGGGGGTATCTGAATAATGAAGAATGACCATAAGCAGTGAACTATAAAACTATGAAACAGTACACATTCCCCATCACAAACAGTGGAGGAAGACTGGCTACCCAGACAGAGAGACCGTGTTTTCCACATTCCAAGTAGTGAAATAGTGGGAGGAAGAAACCCTGAGACACTGGATGATGAAACACACTCCATTCAGCTCACAGGAGATGGGTAATACTCCACCAGGAGGGCCAGGAAAGGATGTCAGTGTTGATGCCCACGCACCAGCACACTTGGTAAGAGATGACACCACAGACAGAAACATGGGAAGCAACTCCTTATTTTATGACCACCACTGATTAGAAAATGAATGTGTAACCAAAGAGAGAAGAACCTATATATCCTTCCACCAGTTCAAGGGCAGCAGCTGTTTGAAACCTTATGGGAAATTAGAGCAAGAAAAATCTTTCATTTGTTTTAAATGAGTTCTTCTCTCTCCCACATACCTCACTTAACTGTCTGCAATACCTTCAGAGGAGCTAGTGTCACCCCCATTAGCATTTGTGTTTGAACTGAGAAAGAGAAAACTCACATTTCCTGACTAACACTGACAGCTGAAGTGATTTGAGCTCTAGGACAAAAAGTTATTGTAGCCAGTGCAAAAATAGAAATGATTAAGATTCTCCCATATTTGAAAACAATTTCTGAATAATAGTATCATTCAACTCGAGTATTTTTAAACTGTGTATTATTGACATAGAATATGCTTAGTATGCCAAAAAACACCATAATGTTGAAAACATAGCTTTACACTCAACTACATATTTAACATACTTATGTATACTAGGCATAAACTGTAATCAGATAAAGTTCCAAACATGCTGTGACTGTTAGCTTATTTTTCCTAGACACATAACTCTTGGAATAAAGCTTTTTAGGATCTACATTTCGTCAATTGTCTGTAGCATCACAACCCATTGGATTCAGCTCCAAATCAAATTAATTTGATATATTACAGCTTTAAATGTTTTTTCCTTTTGTTTTTCTCTCTTTCTTTTTGTTTATTAAGAGGACACAACATGATGATGGTCCTGAAGTCAGGTACAAAAGTAGCTGAAAAAACTGCTTCCACAACCTTCTAATTCTGTCTTCAGAGTTCCCAGTTAGCCAAGCCTCTTCTCCACAGAGAGCTAGTTGTGTTTATAAAATGTAGAGCATAGCACTGTCACCTCCCTGCTCAAAATCTCCCACCATCTTTGTCCTGCTACACCTTTATGACTGTTTCAGATGGTGAACCCTAACTGCTTGCCGGACCCTACACAGCTGACATGGTGTGGCATTGCCCCCCCTACATCTCCAGGACATGGCTATGATTCTCCCATTAATTCCAATCCTAGAAGCCAACAACTTTGTCTTCTCAAAAATACTGACCTCATTCCTGCCCAAGAACACTTGTACCTACTATTCTCTCTCTTGATGGATTTTCTCAGAGTGGCTTCTGGTCATTCAGTCTCAATTCACATAGCATTTCAAAGGGGCCCTTCCTAAGCACTCAGCCACTGTACAGAATTACATGACAATGTTCCTGTCAGAGAATTTACCCTTTACCATTCATGTAGTTACTGTCTGCTTGTAGCACCATGCCAACCCTGAGCTGTCACCAGATCCCTCCTTCTCTAGCAGCATCCCTATGTCACAGCATATACCTGCCTCCTTCCTCTGTCGCATGCAATTCCCATCAACCAATGAATCCCATGGATGTTGCACCTCTCACCAGCCATCTGGCCACCAGTACTGTCACCTGGACTCACCCAGAGCTGTGATCATTTTTGTACTTCAAAATACCATTCAAAAATTTTAATTGCAAAAATAGGTGCAACTTAAAGACAATCAGTGACTTAGGACAGTTCACAGCCCTACCAGCCTCAGCCACCGAGCTTGTGCCACACCCACTGTGGTCTATGCTCTAATCACACTGCATTCTCTCTTTCCAGAGTGTGGACTCTCTCCCAGCCTGAGCCACACATGACTCTGGGCAAAACCACTGTTGTCTGTCCCACTCCCTGCCTCACTCCTGCTTCTCCAAATAAATGCATCCCTGACTGTCCCTACTTCTGCCGGGTACTCCCTTTGGGACAAGCATGGTAAGCTGGGCAAAGGTGGAGGATGACTGGCATCTCAATGAGTTCTTAGAGTAAATGAAGGAATGCAGGAGTTCAGAGACAAATAAACTAATGCAATGAGAAAAATCCTCTAATACACATTGAATCCCAGTAAGCAATTCCAGTCAAAGCCTTACCCACTTCAAAAGGAACTCTACAAGCCCTGGCTGGTGTAGCTCAGTGGATTGAGCGAGGGCCTATGAACCAGACAATCTCGGTTCAATTCCCAGCCAGGGCACAGTCCTGGGTTGCAGGCTGGTCCCCCGCAGGCCACTTCCCAGCAGGGGGTGCACAAAAGGCAACCATACAGTGATGTTTCTCTTCCTCTCTCCTTCCCTTCCCCTCTAAAGATAAATAAATAAAATCTTAAAAAAAAAAAAAAAAAGGAACTCTACAAATAGTCCTTGCAAGTCAGAATTCTGAGCCTCTGGGCACAACTAAGGATAATGGGGTCATTCTTGGGAGACCATGTCAACTCACAATAACCTCCCTGAGTGACCACTTTTAAGTGTGTGGAAGATGGAACCACTTTTCCAGGGCTGCTTCAGAAAATGACATGTCAGTGACTCAAAGCCAGCTCTTCTGCCTCACAGAGGTTTTGAGGTATAGAATATGTTGAGACATGGAAACTACTTGACAATATAAACTAACGCACCATACGAACTCAGGGTCCCACTCTCCACATTTTGGGCATCTCTTTTCATTGTCACAGAGCAGTTCCTGTACTGGGAGCCCCTGGTCTCAAAAAAAAAAAAAAAAGCTTCAGGAGGCAAATGGACCTTTGGTTAATAGCCCTAAACAGCACATGTACATGTGCTACAAAGGAGGGTCTAACTCCCAAGTTCAGTAACCTTGAGAAAATGAAGGAACCTGCTAGAATATTCTCTGTCTGCCTAGGCTCTCGGGCCATGCAATTCACTCTGAAATAGCCTTGGCTGAGTCATATGATAATTCACTTATGTCTCAGTCTCATGGTAAAGTTAGGAGTTAGCCATATTTAACTATATTAAAACTTGAGCATGGTATGATTTGTCTTTTAGCCATAGGATTAGAAAAAGTAGAATATACTTAATGAATATAATCATAAAAAGAAGGAATAACTTCCCAGTAAAAAGAGAAGTCAGAGACACTTTATTGTGTTCTATTTTACTGGCAACTAAATGACTGACAAAGGTCCCATTTCATACTTGTAAATGTAGAAGTAATAGAGAGTTGAAGAGTTTGTGTCTTTGCTTTTTTCTACAAGAGGAACTTTGTCATTTATTATCACCACTGTAATATGGGATTTATCTGATATAAACATATATCTGTGTCTGGACCAAATATGCACTCAGTTGGGCCTAAAACAAACCTTCCTCTCCCTTCTCACTGGCCTTTCAGGAAATAGGACAGACATTGTAGAAAGAGTCTGTAACTGGTATCAGATAGACCTGATGCTTCCTGGATCGGTTATTTAATCTGCCCTAGTGTCCAGTTTACTCATTTTTACAATGGGCACAAGACCCCAACTCTCAGAGTTGCTCTAAGGCTTGGAAGGGCCATTCACAGCTCTTACACTGACAAACTTTTATACTGATGGAATAAAGCAATTTCATAGACTGAGATACCTAACAGGCATGGGACTTATTGGGGGTAGAGGAAGTCATTCTCCATGTCCCTTTCCTCCCACTAGAGAGGACAGCTCTGAGTCATGAACCTGCATCAGATGGCTTACCTCAGCAGCATACCTCACTCCATCCACCACATGCTCAGAGCCATGGTCATCAGCAGAACCCCAGTGCAGGTGAAATTGTCGCAATCTGTATCTTCCAGCGAGTGGACCTCCATACAGAACTAAACATGAACATACTTTAAATTATTAGCAAGATAAAATGTTTCCGTGTGCTCCACAACCTACAACATCTCCCTGAATTTCTCAACATGTCCATGTCCTCCAAGGAAGTTTCACAAATGTGCCACTGAGTTTGCTGACAGGCATCCGACTTTTAAGTGTATGAGGAGTGAAAACATTTTGAAAAGTGAGAGAGTTCAAAATACAGGTTGTATGGAACATGTTAAGGATTTATTCTGTTTCCTGGAGGGTGGTCAGGCTCTGTGCATAAGGACATGATGTGCAGGGTGCATCGTGAACTCCATGGAGCAGTCCAGCTCTCCAAGATGGTTCACAGATAAATAACTTGAAGGCACATGTCTCTAAGTGACGGCACACAGCATGGATGCAGTGGTCGTTAAGTGAAATCAACACATCGGTTGTTCTGTTTTTTCTCTTCTGTGACACAGTAAGATCTGAGCTGAACCAGAAAGTCATCCTTTCACCACTAAAACCCAGATCAGATAGCTCAAGTAATCAGTGTGGAATTGACTTTGGGAAAAGACATGAACAAGCTGACTCTGGAGAAAGACCATGATACCAAAAAATACACATCATCAGAGGAAAGTCCAAGCATCATGGCTGATCTCTGGCAAGCCTGCTTTGAATCCAGAGTTTAAACTCAGATTAGCACAGCTCCACTTAGTTACACAGCAAAGCTTGCCTGACACTTTACATAACTGGACTCCACATGTGAGTGTTTCCTCTAAAATATCCAACCTATGACCATGAACAGAAAATGCCTAATGTGAAGACTACCTCTCAGAGCAGGGCTTTGCACAGGGTGGGGAAAATCAAAATATCACAGTTAACTCAGCACTGACTTTGAGATAGTTTGTAATAAAACAGTTAAACTATGGTATAAAAAAGTAATGGTGGCAAAGTTATTTTAATGAGAATTATTTAGTGCTGTCAAATGTCAATTTATTCATCTTATTATCCAGCTGAGATGAGTAAATATATATCACTGTCTCCATCTTAAGTCTAAAAATAAAAGATCATTTCTCCAAAATCACACTTGACATAGAGAGTTCATTTACCATTTCATTCAAAAAATTTTTAAAAATCTATTTCAAATAATGCACTCAGATAAGAGGTCTACACAGGTTAAGAAACCAGAGTTAAATGCCACAAAATATTGGGGAACATGTAATATCTTAGTAAAAGGGTCACTGTTATTTGCTATACACCTCAAAGTTCAAAGATTTTGTAAAACTAGAAACATATGTGGTACTCTATTGCATTTGACTTTTTTCTTTTTATTATTTATTTAAAATTATATTTTAATGATTATGCTATTACAGTTATCCTGATTTTCCTTCTTTGCCATCCTCCACCAAGCATCCCCACTCCCTGAGGAAATTCTCCTGCCATTGTTTATGTCCATGGGTCATGCATATAAGTTCTTTGGTTGCTCCATTTCCTATACTGTATGGTACATCCCCATGGCTATTCTGTAACTATTTATTTGTACTTCTTAATCCCCTCACCTCTTCAACCATTCCCCCACACCTCCTCCCATCTGACAACCATCAAAATATTCTCCATATCCATGATTCTGTCTCTGTTCTTCTTGCTTGCTTGGTTTAATTTTTAAATTCAATTGTTTATAAATAGATATTCTTGCCATTTTACTGTTCATAGTTTTGATCTTCTTTTCTTTAAATAAGTTCTTCTAACATTTCCTATAACAATTTGGTGATGATGAACACCTTTAGTTTTTTTTCTTGTCTGGGAAGCTCTTTATCTGCCCTTTGATTTGAAATGATATCTTTGCTGGATAGAGCAACTTTGGCTGTATTTCCCTGCTTCTCATGACTTTGCATATTTCTTTTTTTTAATTTAAAAAAATTTTTAATTTAATTTTTTACTGATTATGCCATTACAGTTGTTCTATTCCCCCCTTCATTCCCCTCCACCCTACCCCCATTCCCACAATTACCCCCCCTTTAGTTTATGACCCTGTGTCTCAAGTTCTTTAGATTCTATATTTCCCATACTATTCTTGCCCCCCATCTATTTTCTATCTACCGTCTATGCTACTTATTTTCTGTACCTTCTCCCCCCTTCTCCTCCTCCCACTCCCCTGTTGCTAACCCTCCTTGAGATCTTCATTTCTATGTTTCCACTCCTGATCTAGCTGTCCTTTTAGTTTGCTTTTCTTTTAGGTGTGGTTGTTAATAACTGTGAGTTTGCTGTCCTTTCACTGTTCATGTTTTTTTAACTTCTTTTTCTTAGGTAAGTCCCTTTAACATTTCATATAATAAGGGCTTGGTGATGATGAACTCCTTGAATTTGATCTTATCTGGGAAGCACTTTATCTGTCCTTCCATTCTAAATGAAAGTTTTGTTGGATAGAGCAATCTTGGTTGTAGGTCTTTGGATGTCATGACTTGGAATACTTCTTTCCAGCCCCTTCTTGCCTGTAAGATCTCTTTTAAGAAATCTGCTGACAGTCTGATAGGAACTCCTTTGTAGGTGACTGTCCCCTTATCTCTTGCTGCTTCTAGGATTCTCTCCTTCATTTTAATCTTGGCTAATGTAATTATGATGTGCCTTGGTGTGTTCCTTCTTGGGTCCAACTTCTTTGGGACTCTCTGAGCTTCCTGGATTTCCTGGAAGTCTATTTCCTTTGCCAGATTGGGGAAATTCTCCTTTATTATTTGTTCAAATAAGTTTTCCACTGGTGGCTGTGCCTTTCCCCCTTCTGGCACCCCTATAATTCAGATGTTGGAGCATTTAAAGATGTCCTGGAGGTTCCTAAGACTCTCCTCATTTTTCTGAATTCTTGCTTCTTCACTTTTCTGTTTGGCCATTATTTGCTTTCTTCTGGTGCACTCCATTGATTTGAGTCCCGGTTTCCTTTTCATCGCTATTGGTTCCCTGTGCAATTCCATTCATTTCAATTAGTTTTGCCTTCATATGTTTCTCTAATTTGTGGCTATAATCAACCAGTTCTGTGAGGATCTTGATCACCAGTGTTTATACTGTGCGTCTGAGAGTTTTGCTATTTCTTCATCGCTTAGATTTATAGGCTCTGGGGCTTTGAGATCTTCTTGAGCCATTTTTGGTCTGTTTGCTCCCATTAAGTATGAGGAGCGGAGCCTTGGACTCCCAGGTGACTGGGTTGTGACGCTGTATGTGGGGGCATGGTCAGAGCAGGGAAATGGCGGCCCCCTCTGCTGATTCTCACAGCTGGGTGAGGAGCAGAGCCTTAGATGGTTCACCAGGGCCGGGCCACTCAGAGTTGCTGGGTTATGAAGCTGTATGTGGAGGTGGGGTCAGAGCGAGGAAATGGCGGCGTCCTCCACTACCACTTGCTGAGGGTACCCGCTTGGTCCTAGTCCAATCGCCCACTCCCTCACTTGTCTATCCGCACACAAATGTGCCACCACAGTCAACCCACAGCCCTTCTCCCTCGCTGTTTCCCCACGGTCGCTGGGTCTCTTACTAGGTCCAACCCTGCGCCTGGATTCCACGCGCCTGAGTCCGTCTGATCAAGTTTTCCTGTGCTACCCTGCTCTGCCAACTGCTGGTTTCGCCCCCTACCGGTCAGGCTGAAGAATTTGTTAACAGACTTCCGAAAAGTTCAATTTTCTGTGTTCTGGCTGTGTTTTCTTGCTAATATTTAGTTGTCTCTAAACTGGTTGTGTGGGAAAGCACGACGTATCCACCTATGCCTCAATCTTGGCAGGAGTCCTTGGTTTGTTTTTCTCAAACCCTGCTTCAATGCTTACTCAATATATACAGTCTGACTTCACCAATAAACAGTTCCCTCCTCTGTATCCCAGAGAAGGGACTCCACCTGACCCTGCTTTGACTATTTCTTAATCACCCATCACCTTCCCTCCGGGCCTGGCTGATCCAGCCTTACTGGTTGTGGCACCTGGGGCTCACAGAGGCCAGTTGTTGCTGGTTTGAGAGGATTTAGAAAGTTGTGCTGCATGAGCCAAGATCAGCCATTCATATGGAAAAGCGGCTTGGTGGAGGGGGCAGAGTTTCTGGGGATCACCAAGATGAATCAAACAGCATTAGCCAGGCTGATGGAATCTCAGATATGGCACCAGCTTGCTGCGTAGGTTTTAGAAAAGAGACAATGACCTCTGCTTGTCTTCATGCCAGATACTTCATTTCTTCCAATATGCTGGTGCCATTTAAGCTGCTATCTTGGTGCTGGAGTTCAGCGGGAATGAGTCTGAATAGGTGATTCTATGTGTGGGTTCTTTAAGAGGAAGTTGTGGGGACTTATCTTCCTGGCACTGCAACCCTGGCTGAGTGGCCTGGTGTAAGGCTGGGACTCCTCACTCCCAAGATATCCCTCCCAAAGTTTTATCCACCAACTTGGTGTAGGATTAGACTGTTCCACATCAGCATCCCTCTTACCAGTCTGGATGGATGTGGTTTATTCAATTCCATAGTTGTCAGGCTTCCATTCAACTCAATTTCTGGCAGTTCTGAGTGATTGTTTTTGTATATTTTAGTTGTAATTTTGATGTGGTTGTGTGAAGAGGTGAGCTATATCTGCCTACGCTGCCAGCTTGACTAGAAAACTCTCATTTGACTTTTAACATTGTTAGTAACTTGCAAATCCTACCCCTTTTTTGAAACTACATTGTAATAATCTACATTGAATAATAAGCAAGGCTGGCAACACAATCAGAAAAAAAACTAATTTAAAAACCATCACATTCGTCTCTTCATACAGCTTCTGTCTGTCCCATTAGGATACAAACTCATTTAAGGTGGATCTATCTTGTTTCTTTGTGTCCTCAATACTGTACCCAATCAATAAATACACTGGCATAAGTGCAAGGTTGCTATGAAGTGACCTGGGAATCACCAATTGGGAATCACCAAAGAGCATACCCTAGGACCAATGAGTATAATGGTGAAGTACAATCTAATCACTTCTTATTCTAGAACTAGCAGTGTAGCCTCAGTTTTTTTTTAAACATCTGAGATATTATAAAGAGTAACCAACTATGATTGTGGGTGGTATAACTTTACATTGAAAGCCTTAGATAACTTACTGTATGATCATATCTATGAGCCCATGATATCAACCATCTTTATTAACTCAAATTCAAATGAGTGCATGAAAAAAAGACAATTGCCCATATATGAAAAGCAAGGTCCCTCCCTCCCCCCAAAATTTGAAAATACCAAGTGTTAATCTTTCTTTGTGCATTTTTGCAATGCTCCGAATAATATGAATCACTTTTACAAATTTAACAAGTATGAGGAAGAAATTTTATGGGCTTATGATTTTTATTAACAATATAGCATCACATTAATATGGAAAATATTTATGTAATTATTAAACCAAAGCTGAGCTTAGTAAGTGAAAACTTTCTTTCCTTTAAGAATTAAAAATTTTAACTATATGTAACATTAATAGAGCAAATACAGTGTCACCCTAATATTAAACTAAAGGTAAAAGTAATTTGTGAAAAGCCTTAAAATTTTATTCTAATCTCTCTCATCTTACTTTTAAACTCTATACCATCTATTTATCTGGACTGTAGTTGTGTTTGAAGGACTAATTATTCATTTTAAGGAAACACTCTTTTCTACTTCATTTAGCTAATTTGTTATATATAAATAATACTAAAGTTTTATTCGGCCAGTCCATTATTTATTGACAGTGTGAAAGACACTGTCCAATGAACTTCAAACAGAACTTTTATTACAAGTTCCAGCAAAGTATTAACAAGGTTATACAATGCATAGGTGTTTCAAATATGAGAGGAAAGAAGGTACTGTCCAATCATCCAAACTCCTCATTTCTCCCCCCCAAAAGCCAACCTGATTTGTCCTCTGTGTCATCAAAGTCAACGTTGAAGGAATGACCACTGTTACTGATGATTTTTGCTGAGCTTGCATCATACTTGATACAAAGTGGTTGGAGGGAAGAGTCATACTTCACTTCCTTGGTTTTAATCTCAATTGGGGATTGCTGGTCCCCATCAGCTATAGGGAAAAGTTCATTCCAGTGAACAGGACCTTGAATACAGGAGACCAAAAGAAAAGGACTAAACAAGTGATTTCATTCAACAGATACTTGTACACAATGCATTGTGCCTGAGATTGAAGAGAGAACAAGGATTAATAAAATAAGGTTTTCCTCTTCAAGACCTTCACATTTACGGTTGATGTTTTTAAAAGACTAGTTGCTCTTATTATAGGTATGGAAACTTTCTAGTTTACCTTCATTCATTTTCAGAATTAAACAAACCCTTGCAGACAAAAGAGCATGTACACTTTATAAGATACTTTCCAAAGGTACTGTTCTACCAAACTAAAAACAACAGTACAATTCTTCACTGAGAACAATGAGGTTCAGTCTCAGCTCCAAGAATGAGCTGTGGTAGCTGCAGAGCACACCAAGTTTATGAATAAGCACAGAGGGTGAGTTCTTAAGAATTCCTCCTTCTTTCTTCCATCACTTGGTGGTATCTTCAGGTATCACCCAGCTCTTACTCAATGACCTGTGATGTGCAACAGGCAATATATAAATTCTCACACAGGATAATCCAATACCATGGCTGCGCCATGTTAGGAAATGTAGTATTGTAGATGATCTGCAGTACAGTCAGGTAACAATTTATTATTCTTTTTCTACATTTCAGGATGTCCTTCTGTGGTTATTTTGCCAATGCTACATTTGAATTTCAAAACACAGGACAATGGTCACCCTGATCCTCTACTCAAATGCAAAAATCTGCATCAAGTTCCCAAAGCAGACATGTTTGATAAATTAATGTGAACCAATAGGCCAACAATTTCCTTGTCTAGTCTCTGCATTTCTCTGGGAGACCCAGTGTGAGTTCTGCCTCTCAATACCAACAGCAAGGTGGCAGCTCTAAGAAAGCTCCAGGTCCATGGACAGAGCCTCATCACTTCCAGGTAGGAGGTTATTGTCTCCTCAACTGATCTGTAGCCAACACAGCCACCACCAGCTAAGAAAAGCTCAGGGCCACTGGCTAAGTAAGCTCTTCCCTTCTCACCAGCCAACTTACCTGGTTTCCCCAAAACTCAAATGCTTGTAAAAATGATACAGCATGACAAATAGCTAAACACTGGTGACTAACAACACAAATATTTTAAGAAGATAAGCTTGATAATAATATTTCATGAAAGGTAAAAATATCACAATTAGTAACAACTTTGATCTCTAAATCTCATGTCCCTGATTACTCATTTTGGCAAAAAAGAAAGCATAAATGCCTTCCTTTACATAAGCTTCGGGTACAAAACATCCCAACATGAATACACGCCCACACACACAAAAGTTCTTCTCTCACAAATCTGAAATTTTGGACTTCAAGGCAACTTGAACATTGGAAGTTCTTGCTTACAACTTACTACAGAAAAAGAATTACTATTCCTTATTTATTAAGTATTCTCATATACCTTTCTAGTACTCTCAATGTATACAATCTAGTCTTTTTTAAAAAAAAAGGTTTTATTTATTTTTTGAGAGAAGGGAAGGGAAAGAGAAAGAGAGGGAGAGAAACATCAATGTGTGGTTGCCTCTCATGTGCGCCCCCCTGCAGGTGCAGGGCATGTAGCCTAGCCTGGGCATGTAGCCTAGCCTGGGAATTGAACCAGCAACTCTTTGGTTTGCAGGCCTGTGCTCAGTCCACTGAGCTATACCAGCCAGGGCTAGTCCTTTTTCTTTTTTAATGTTCAAGTTTTCTACTTCACAGCCATCAAGTATGACTTAACATAGAGAGAATTAGATTTCAAATATGCAATGCATGTGTCACAACATGTTGTTGACTTTTTTCCAATCAGGAAAGTTTTTTCTCCTAATTACTCTCCTCTTTCTAGTTCTTTATAACCAGAACCATTTTGAAATACTCAATTTTAAATATTAAATACTAGGGTAGGTTCATTCCCCTACCTTTTAAGAGACCCCTTTTTAAAAAGTTTTTCAAAAGCTTCAACTTTAAAAACATTTAAACATGGTTCATAAGGAGAGATATATGAGGTCTGTCCAGAAGGCATCCAGCCATGTTTCTATGAAAAATAGAAACATTTACTGAAGAAGATACAGGATACAAGAAACATTGTACATAGGGCAATGTCACCTCAGTCTCCTTCAAAGTAGGCACCTTGGAGCTTCACATGGTTCTCACAGTTAGCATCAGCTGGCCCATCTATTTTCATGAATCTCATCAAAGGTCTGAAATCTCTTCCCGTTCAAAGCTGATTTTGGCTTTGGGAAAAGCCAGAAGTCACAAGACCCAAAAGCTGGGCTGAGTCTCTCGGATGATTTGATGTTTCACCAAAAACTGTGCATGTGATATGATACATGAGTGGGCATTTTGTCATGATGAAGCTGCCAATCACCAGTTGCCCATAGCTGCAGCCTACTGAACCATCAAAATAGTTTCTGTGGAGAAATGTTCAAGTTTAACACAAAATTTGATACAGATTCATTGCTCTACTTGCTCAGTCATTTTGAATGTGATGGCCACACAGTACACATACATACTCACTCAATGGCATCTATCACTCCCACTGACTAGTACAGTGAAGCTGCCATTGTTCACACATGCACATTCTAGCATTCCAGTCCACTCTCCTTGGTTGCCAGGTTACATTGATATCCCAGAAACTATTCTCATTATATTAACAAATGGTTGGACATTTTCTGGACAGACCTCATATGTTGTTTCTTCCTTTGATTCTGGAGCTTTTGAATATTCATAGTGATACACAGTTTTCAGTAACTGTCACACTTTCTAAACTAAGCCAATAAATGTATCTAAGTTTAGTGGAAGATATTCTAAGTTGTTTGTGGAGGTGGTTGCCCCCTTCCAAGGCCTCATGTCACCTGTTCATTCATGGCCTTTATCAGTCTAAGCAGGAAAAAAAACATGAGATCCACCAGCCAGGGTGCATAACGTCCAGCAAAATTTTTGGCACAGGTGAGTCTTTGCTATTGCTTCTAAAGCAGGGAATGGCCCAACAATTTGTAAAGAACTATGAAATCAGTTTTTGCTCATGGCTTTCCTGAAAAGGATTTTTAAACTTTCTAAAGACAGCTTCAATGTTTTCTAACATACTAGAAAGTAATCAGTACTCATTGATCAAAAAATCATTTTTCCTAACCATAATTACTATTGTTCCATAGTAACTATTAATTAATAATAATAATACAACCCTAGCCAGGTGGTTCAGTTGGTTGGAGTGTTGTCCAAAAGGTTACAGGTTCCATTCCTGGTTATGGCACATACCTAGGTTGTGGTGGGTATGGGAGGCAAGTGATCATATTTTTCTTTCACATTGATGTTTCTCCGTCCCTGACCATCTCTCCCCTCTCTCCCCTCCTCTCTCTTTAAAAATCAATAAACATATCGTAGGGTGAAAATTAAAAAGATAATAATACAAATTTTTCCAATGGAAAGGAAAATTAAAAAAACATCCAAACATAAATTAGAAATTAGCAGAATGTAAGATTATAATTGTAGGCTTCATCAAAAAGTAATCTACCCAAATTATTTGTTTCATTTTTAAAGTCTTAAATTTTACCTGCTGCCTTTTTCAATTAGCAAGTTAATCATAACTTCAAAAGGCTAAAGTTAGAAGTGAAACTTTTCTGCCCTGGCCAGCACAGCTCTGGAACTAAAGAGTTGTGGATTTTTGAGACTCAGCACATGCCTAGATTGTGGGGTTTGATCCCTGGTCCAGGTGTATATAGGAGGCAACCAGTGGATGTTTCTCTATCTCCCTTGCTCTGTCTGTAAAAAGCAATGAGGAAAAAATGTCCTCTGGTGAAGTTAAAAAAAAAAAAAGGAAAATTTTCTTTTTGTGTGTGAAAGTTTTTATAAAACTATACTCTATAGAGTACCGTTCAATAATAAACATATTAGTCGAAAAACATTACTATCACTATTATTCCTAGGACTAATTTTGAAAGCAATTCACTATAAGGCTTTTATCGGTGTCACTTTGCAATTAGTTTAAATAAACGTATTTGAAACAATAAGTTTAGTCCAATTTAATATAAAAAATAAGAAAACGTTTTACTTTTGATAGTTAAAATAGATAAGAAGAAAAGCATTGTACATGCCTAATTACTGCTGCACCCATCAGTAAATGCATTTTGCCCGCGTGTTTTAATTTCAGTAACGCTTTGCTGATCCTCAGTGTTCCCAGGGTGTGTGCCACAGGAGAGAAGGGGAAGACTGGAAGAAGCCTGAACTCCACCTTTACCTTCCAGAAAGAACCTGAGTCTGAGCCAAGTAAGAACTCAGGGAGGTGGCAAGTGTCATAGTTACCCAGAAACCAGCAGTCTTGAGGTTGTCAAGAAGGCAGCCTGAATTTTCAGAAATGCAATTCAAGTTATTCAAATTTCTTAAATATATTTCCCCGTGTTTTCCATTATTTGTTTCCCCGGAGTGAATAATGAGCTTACAAGACTGAAAGGAAAGTTGTCCTCGAGTCATTAAACTGTGTCCTCAGACCACCTTTAACCCAAAGGTGCTGTCACTAGGGCAAGTCCCCCCACACTGTCCTCTTCTGAAGGGCAGTGCACAGACCAAAGTGAAGTTTGGGGTCTGTAAGCCCCCGGCAGGCTGCCAACCTAGTACCAACACCCCACGAGCCACCCCTGCACACGGTCCGCGACGGCCTCAGGGCAGGGGACCCTGGTATCCAGGGGACCGTGTGCTCTAAATGGGACTCCAGGCCCCCAAACCCCTGCCTCCCCAGGCCCGTCTGTCGAGGGGCGCTCACCGTTGTGCTCCGCATACCCCCAGCTGAGCCGCGACATGGTCCTGGCAGGAGGGTGGAAGGGCAAGATAGCAGGGAGCTTGGGCGGAGCTGCAGAAGTGGGGGTGGTGTGCGCACTTGGCCCGTAGGCAGAGGGGTGCTCGGTATGCCGCCAGAGGAGGCAAGCAGGACTGGCTGAGTCAGGGTCCTGAGTCCCCTGCTGCTCTGAACCCAGAAAAAGGTGGGTGGATGGGAGGGGAAGAGGGAAGGAGGAAAAAGGCTCCAGGGACTTCCCGCCTGCTGCATGAGTCCCGGGAGAAGGAAGAGTTGCCTGTAGGCTGCCCCAGATGGTGAGTCACCAGAGGTGGCCCTGGTGGGGGTTCAAGCCCAGAACAACCGGGACGGTGGCAAAGCACAAAAGTAACAGCAGTATTCATCAAGGGCATGCCCTGGTTAGGCCAGCGCGTTTATCCACATTTTACACGACGTCTTCCCAGCATCTGCTAAGGAAGATACTCCAAACGCCAGAGAGTCAGAAGGGCTCAGTGACTGTTCTTGGTCCCGCAGAGCGGCCCGCAGGTCCCTCCCACACCCACATCCTGCTGGCTCTCCCTCATCCTCTGCATACTGTGGCTGGGTGCCCAATTCTGCTGTCTTTTGCATCCCACAGGAGCAGGGTGTTCAAGCCTGTTCTGGATGCTCAGTGGCCTGGCTGCCCTGGACTGAAGTGAATTTTCTGTTTTGGAAGGGTGGCTCTGTTGAGCTCCCAGTGAAAAAAAGACACAGTGTGATCCACTGAGACTATAATTACTGTCCCAGAGACTAAGGCTTTGAGTTTGGTCCCTTTGAAATTTCAGATTGAACTCTGCAGTGTTTTTTATGAACAAACTAGTGCAAAGGGCCTCTTGATGGCATGGAACTTCCATGAAGAGGAAAGAGTGGATGTTTAAATACCATCTTTCCTCCTGCGGCGAGAGACAGCATGGGAAGAATGCTGTCTTGGTGGTTTCTTACAAAACAAAACATACTTTTTCTATGATCCAAATGAGCTGAAAACTGTTTATAGCAGCTTTGTTCAAAATTGCCAAATCTTGGAAGCACCCAAAATAGCCATCAGTAGGTGAATGGATGATTAAACTGTGGTTCATCGAGACAGTGGAATAGTATTCAGCACTAAAAAGAAGTGAGCTATGAAACCATGAAAAGACACAGAGGCACATTTAATGCATATTGCTAATTGGAAGAAGCCAATCTGAAAAGGCAACATACTGTATGATTTCAACTATGTGACATTCTGGAAAAGGCAAAACTATGGTGACAGTAAAGAGATCAGTGGTTGTCAAGGGCTGGGGAGATAGGGGACAAAGAGCACAGAGGATTATAGGACAGTGAAAATAATCTCTATGATTCTATAATGATGGATGCATGTCATTATGCACCTTTCCAAACCCACAGAATGTACAGCACCAAAAATGAACCTAAGGTAAGCTATGAACTTGGGGTGATAATAGGATGTTAATGTAGCTTCATCATTCATAACAAATGTACCCTTTGGTGGGAGGAGTTAATAATGGAGGAAGCAATGCATTCATAGGGGCAGGGATTATATGGGGAATCTCTGTACTTTCTTCTCAGTATTTCTATGAACCTAAAGTTATTATTAAAAAATAAAGTCTTAAAAAAAGGCAAACTCACAAAAAACTAACAGAGTCATGTAAAATATACAATACCACACAGGAGCTAGATTATGGGAGGTCCCATACCAAATTTGGGATCATTCGGCCATCAAAAAGAATAATTGTAATAGATTATAATATCCTTCCCCCCAAAATATCCATGAGTCCAGAGAGAGAGAGAGAGAGTGAGAGAGAGAATGCTTCTTTATGAGAGAATGCCAGCTACTGGATACAGATAAAATGATAAATTTTTAAAACAATCATTTTTGAAAGGCCAATGTAATATCTGGTTCAGGCAATGATCAGTCATGGGAGTTAAAATTTCTGGACAAAAGGCTATAGGCAAACAGAATATTTACACAGTCCAGGATTCAGAGACAAAATATACATAAAAACCAAACACAATGTGTGATTCTCAGTTAAGTCCTACACTGGTGAGGAGGGTGGAGGGAAGCTAAAATAGATGCTTTGGGTCAATTGGAGAAATGTTGACATGGACAGCATGTAGGTGGTTTCATTGAATTGATGATAATTTTTGTAGGTGATGTGATGGGGAGGCTGTAGAATATGAATGCCGAAGCCATCAGGCTGAAGTACCCTGGTGCCTGCAACTGACTCACACATGTCTTGGTCAGTAACTGATGGATCCAACTGAAGGATATGTGGATGCTCAAAAGAGTATTTTTACAATTTTTCTGTACATATTAATTTTTTTCAAAAAAATTTTGAGTCAATTAACCCATTAACTTGCCAAATAACCCTTCATAACTATTTGTGGGTTTTCTTCTTAAAAAAGAGCCATTTCCAGATTCACAACTATCGGATACAAACAAGTAAAAGACTAACATGACCAGTGAGCCCAGGATTTCTGACCAAGGCCACAGTCATCATCTCCACTTCACTCTTGAACCAACTGGATCCAGCCCAACTTCTGTGCAGCAAACATGCTTATTCAGCTCTTGAAAGCATCAGATACTGTATGTTATAAGCTGTACTCATAAGTTATAACCTCTGACATATAAATGTTTAATGAAGTGTAGTAATATAGTAAGGGAAAATCAAAGTAATGTTGTTGATAATGAATGAATTGATATTGTTTTATTAGAGCATATGCAAGGGCTCTCTGAGGTACACATTTTTCCCAAGTACTTCTTCTGGAAAGCCTAAATGTGAACCCAAGTGGCTATTTTCATCTGATTTTACCAAGCAGAAAAAAATTACTGAGCAAGATTCCTCCATTACCCAGACATGACAGTCACACAGTGGGACATAGTGCCAGTCTGCAGAGTCCCAAGTCCAAAGTGCTCTCCAGTAGTGCCTGTTTCTTGCTTTTACTGCATCCTGTGTTGTGCACAGCTGGGACTTATTAACCACAGTAATGTCTTATAATTTGCTATCTTGGGAAGGGTGTTGATTTTATGGAGCTGACGTATGGACTTTCTATTATTGTACCTTCCCATTCTTCAGGTTACCTTACCGTGGGGGTGTATAATGCAAGCTGCCCAGGAGAGAGCTCACTGAAAGACTGAACAAACGCCCAAGGGGCTAAAGGACTTGGTCAATGACCCAGGTTTCATGTCAGAAGGAGAATTCTCTGACAAAAATTGAAAGGGTAACTCCAGTGAATCATGGCTCAAGATACTTCTCAGATTCCAGTTTTAGAAACTGGAGGCAAGCATTCTGTCATTTATTGTCAGACACGAATACATTCATTGCTAAAACCCTACATCGTACATTTCTATTCTGTGTCTTCTCATACAGTTTTTAAATAATTTGTCCATATCCTATTTTTAGTGCTTCATATCTTATTTGAGCATATCACAAAAGTAAAGTATGAAAAAGAAAAGGAGAGAGATAAGATTATTTAAAAGGAAGTGAAGTTGTATAGACATCAGATCAATGTTGAAACGTCCTGATAATTCAGGCCAAAATAATCCAGCTGTCAAAGAATTTAGTTAATTATTCCTTGAACTCAATAAATCAGTCAGTGTTATTCTATTGCTATATTGTAAATGTTCATAACCTTTTACAATTCCCAGACATGCTCCCTACAAAGCTTTATGTAAAATGGTGTTCATCATAATGGAGTTATAACAGAAAAAAAATCTAGAAACAGAAATGCAAATGATAAGAATTGGAATAACTTATTATATATCAAAAAGATGTAATTTTATAAAGACATGAAATATCACATTTAAAAGTATACTTGTTTGTGCTTATATTTATACATTTGTATCTAGAGATAATTCTCATTTTTCATTAACAACATAGTATATTTGCATAGAAAAAATGCTGCAAAGAAATATTTTTAAAAATCTGAGTGATGGAATACCTTCATTGTTCAAAAATATTTGTTGGGTTCTCTTTATGTGCTGGCACTGTTTCCAGCACAGGGGATAGAACAGCTGCATAGCCAGCCCCTTGTGGCATCTCCTTCTTCCCTGAATCAGACTGGCAAAGTGACAGTGTGTGACTCCGAAGTCCAAGTCACAAGAGACATTGCAATGTCTTTCTCTCTTGGATCCTCAGTCTGGGGGCTGTCAGCTTCTGTGTCATGGGGACACTCAGGCCTGAAGAAATATCCTTCTAAAAGGAGTCAGGTACCTGGCAGTGGCCAGCGCCAGTGGCAGCCCTGAGCAATGTGCCTGGCTAGCCAATCCCTATCCCCAGCTGAGCCATGAGGTGACTGCAGCTCAGCCAACATCTAACTGAAATCTCATAAAAGACCTGAACCAGATCCATCCAGACAAGCCCTTTCCAATGTCCCTCCCCACAGAAATCGTGAAATAATAAATAATGACTGTTGTTTCAAGAAACTCAGTTTTTGAGTGACTTGTTACACTTTAGAAAAATAAATACAGCAGAGAAAACAAAACCAGATAGAAAAGTTCTGCCTTTATGGAGCTTACATTCTGGCAGAAGATAGATAATAAGCAAAATACATAAACTATATGTGATATGATAATAATGGCATAGCAGGACAAGGGTAGAGGAGTAGGAGAACCCCTGATTTTAGAGGTAGTCATGAAGCCCTCTCTGAAAAGATGCCTTTTTAAATAAGATCTGAGAGGTGAGGGAGGAGCCTAGCAGATATTTAGGGGCAAATACCCTGGCAGATGGTCCAGAGAAGTGGGAACACACACCTACCATGATTAGATGACAGTGAGAAAGCAGTGGGGATTGGTGCATACAGAGGGGGCCACAGAGCGGCTGCAGGCTTGGCTTTTATTCTGAGTAATGTGGGAACATCAGAAGTTTGGAGCTGATGAATGACATGATCGGATCGCTACTGAAGCAGGACTACCCTGGCAGCTGGGCTGGGTACAGATGAAAGCAAGGGAACCAGTTAGGAAGCTGTTAGAACAATCTGAGTGAGGCAAAGAAGATGGTGAGCTAGATCAGAACCCAGTTATGGCTGGTGGTGCATTTCTTCTTTATGCTTTTTTGAATTTCCAAATTTCTAAATGACTCTCCATGACTTTTACAATACAAAAGGAGAAAAAGAAGTTTTTAAGGAGCTACATGTTTGGTTTTGGTTGTATTTAATCATAGTATAGACACCCATGTAATTCTTGGCAAAACTTCAGCACAACAGGGTTCTAAAACACCACAGAGGGTCAAGAATTGTCGACTTTGGTCTGTGAAAA